TAAAATTATTATAAAAAAGAAAGAAAAAAAAAAAACTACCACAGTGGAATCACTCCATTTTCTCTCCCTTTGTCTGCTCCAGGTCGTGGGAGTAGCAGCATTTCTCTCCATGTGAACATGTTCCCTGATAAAAAAAAAAAGAAAAAACACAGTAACATTAATAATATATTTCAATTTATTAAAATACCACAAACTGCCGCAGGAGCGTTTTTTGGCTGCAGCGTTCAGATGATCTGGCAGAGAACCGACAGCGAGTGGCGACCTGCCAACGCAGCTAATAGAGACGACTAATTCACCACAATCTGTCCGATACTTCGTTTCCCACCGAGGACTCGATGACTTTAACGTGTAATCAGCATTTGAGTAATTGTCTCCCTGCGCTCGCATTCATGAAAAGACGTTACAGCTGAAACATTGAAGCTAAAGTGGACGAGCTGTGTAAAACGGTGAGTACGCAGTTATTTGCTTTGTTAATTCTATCGCTCTGTCTTTTACTTTGAACAGGTCGATTTTGATCGAATCAACGAACCTGTCTGAACCTTTTGCAGGGGAGGTGTTTCAGCTGAGAAGAGTCTGTGATCTGGTTCTTCCTCTTGTTCTGGAACTTCTCTCTCTTGTCCTGCAGGCTGGCACAGATGCCTCCGCTGGACGAGAGAACACAAGAGGTGAGAGACGGATTTGAGGAAAAGGAAGAAACGACAGGAGAGATGAAAAGACGGAGGCAGGAAGAAGAGAAAGATGACGACAAAATGAAGATTGAAACAAAAGGTGCAAAGAAAACAATGTAAAAATTTAAAATCAGTGAATATTTCCGGTATTTAAGTTTAGAAATGTGGAATACAAACTTTTCCTTCCTTCAGTTTGGCCTCTGAAATGTGATGTTTCAGTAAAGGATTCTTACATAGAAAATATCTGGTGATTATAAACTTTCAAAGAAACTTTTCAGCAGCAAACATCCAATTTTAACTTTAAAAACATTAAATATTCTATTGGTCCATCCTCAAAGATATGACAGCTTGTGTTTATTAGTCAGTCTGTGTTTGTGTGTGTGTTTTCTGTCTAGTCACCCGGCTTTGGCACGAGCTTTAGGTCCCCAGAACGCCTGAGGGTTCTCCTGGAACCTCGTCAGGTGGCGTTTACGGGACTGAGGGTTGGCGTCCTCCCTCACAGTGAAACAGGCCTCGAGACTACAAGCCCACAGACACACAAGAGAAATGTTAAAGGTAAGAGAGGAGACGCTTTGTCCATCTTTATTTAAAATCTCTGGTTTGTCTCGTGTGTTTGTTTGAAACAATCACATCAACCATGAATAACCCAGCAAACATTCTGACGCGGAAAATGACGCATGAAATATACACCTGTGGTCTCACCTGGGCTCAGTGGAGAGGATCTTAAAGGCCGGGCTGGTCTCAGACAGCTTCTCCCTCTTCACAGGATTAGACTTCTCCTGTGGGGGACGACCAATCACACAGACGAGTGCGAGTGAAGACTGTAACATGCGATTCTGCACAGACAGCTTCTCAAGATGCATTTGATTTACTTACCCAGCATCTCATGATGTCCCAGATGGCTGCAGGAGGAGCGTTTGTCTTGATGGCGTTCTTACAGGCGTGAGAAAGGGAAACCCGGTGACCGGCGTGAAGAAGAGCAGACCTGCACATAGAGAGAGAGAGAATCAGCAGATGAACGGAGGCAGGGAATGCTGGGAGGTGCAGATTAATTTACAAATATCTCTCAAAGACGAGACACAGCTTCTTTGTCAGGGGAATAAAACCGGCCACAGGAAGTTGATATGGAAGAGGAGACTTCGAGGTCAGGGAACGCCAACGATGAGCAACAGGGGACTAAAATGTTTCCTCGAGCTGAGAGTGATTCAAGATGATTATCGTTATATCACGTTATCACTCGCTCCTTGTGTGTTTACCTGAACTGGAGCAGCGGCGGCGTGTTGCAGTGTATCGTGCTGCTCAGACTGTCCACAGTGTAATAAAGAGGAACATCTTCCAGCTCCTGAAACAAACCGGACATCACAGGTGATAAAGACAGGAAGCCGCCACTGAAGAGCAGGACGGTCGTAGTACAGAGACACCCGATGTGACTCCACTTGACAACACCGGAGGAGTGTGAATTAAACGTTTACCTCCGTCACCATGCTCAGCATCCCCTCGATTCGTTTAGATGTTCCGAATCTGGACGGATTCCCAGACACAGCGGACAGAACCCTCTGGACAAACGCCACATCATGGATGGGCTCCACCCAGAGAGGACCCCCCATCTACAGAGAGGACAAACACAGGCCCCAGCTCACGCGTGTGTTTTCTATAGTACACACAAGTAACTACACACAAGCACTGAGGTTTGGACACAATTCAACACCTGGGATGGTTTCTCTGTGAGTTCAACAAAATCCAAGAGGGAATAATTACCTGGAGTATAATTAGTAATGTGTGTGTGTGTGTGTGTGTGTGTGTGTGTGACCTGATGTCTCTGTCCACAGTGCTCACACTCTGGTCCCACAGGCGGTCCATTAGCAGCAGAATACTTCATACTGAAAACACACAGTATACAACTTTACTACACACACACACACACCATCCTGTCACAACCATATGAATATTTTATATAACGTCACAAACCATAGAATGTAAATGAGGATGAATGATGCTATAGGTCCTTTGTCGCCTGAGTCTGTGCGACTGGGGGGGACGGAGACGTTGCATCAAGGTCCCACTGATAATTTAATTTAATGTCTACTTCCACCTTTTAGTTTGTCCATGTCCCATCTACTAACATGGAGGAGGTGTTGTTGTGACCTATACATCAGCCAGCCACCAAATCTATTTGATATTTCCTGAATGTTTCAGAGCAGACATCTTAAATCGTCCGTCAGTGAACAGAAGTCAGTGAAGTTGCTCAGTGTGTAGTTTCTTACTGTTTCCCATTCATCGTTCTCTTGCCCATTCTCTGTAAGTGGAAAGACCCACAGCCGACACAGTTGTAGGCCAGAGCCTGTTTACTGCAAAACAACAGAAAGACAAGAGAGGGAGATTTAAACCGTGATTAATCTACTGATATTATAAATCAATACCTTGTTTATCTATAAGAGCAACTTGATTAACAGACAGGGATCATACGTGTGCACAGAGATTTGAGGATGAGTCCTCTCTCATCATACA